TGCATTGACACTTGGCTCCATGTGAAAGCCCCAGTAACCTCTCCCCCCTTCCGTGGCCCTGGCCTTTTGTTCCTGGAGAACGGAGCTAAGGTGCTTTTTCTCCCAGACCAAAGGCAGCAGGCAAGGAGTCCCCTTGTGTGCGCATCGCCTTTAGATGGCCTTCTCATGGTTATTGTCAATGCAGACTCCTGCAAACAATTGCTCCAGGGAGACACAAAAGCAAAAACATTTGTCCTATTTTTTTAACCTCTTTGTTTTAGATTTTTTTTTTATCCATTCTTTAAATTTCACAGTTTCTATTTGTCTGCAGAGAGACAATCGAAACAGCATGAAGCACATTTTACCGTAGGCCTCGCTGACGATTGGAACAGCCTCAATAGAAATCCAGATTCTAAAACACTGGCTGACTTGGAGGATATGTGAAATTTTAGCCCGGGCTCTTAAGTCAGATTAGCACAGATTGCAGACAAAAAACGCACTAAAATGGCAAGATAAGAAAATGGGATTCTAGAATCATTTGGGGGGGGGGGTGGGGGAGTGTGAACAGGGTTCTCTTTTGTTTATCCCTTAGTGTCCTGCCCCAAGAAGTGGTTGCTTCATAGGAAGGAATGGCCAACCCAAATGAAATTCTTCACTGAAACAAAAATCTGATCTTGGTTTGTGTGCTCCTGGCATATTGTTTAATTGATTGTTTTAACACATGTGTAGGGAAGCTTTTGGTACATACTACGGAATTGAGGCTGTGCTGAGATTTTGTGGTTTTTATTTTTTCAAACTCCAATTTATAGAAAGAGACCTTATTTCCTCCCCCTTCCCTTTCCTCTCCTGTTTCCCTTTTCCTTTCTTCTCCCTCCAACCTGCTTCCCTCCTAGAATTCAGTGGTTTGTATCAGAGTGCAAAGGGATGAGTCCAACAGTGGGAATGGCCCCTGAAAAAATAGGAGTCCACCTCGTTTTCCTAGCCCCCAAACAAAGCACTTCTCTACCGTAATGTATGGACCCTGATTGCGATGCTGTCCTTAAGCATCTGTCTGCCTTTTCATTAAAATTCTCAATTTCAAGGTTTAGAAACACAAATGTAAGAATCCCCTTGGGTATAAAAGTCTTGCATGGCAAATTCTCTTTGCCCTTTTAGAAATAATATTTTTGTTAACAAAAAAAAGGGAAGAAAGAGAGCAAGCACTTCACCTAATGCTTTAAAGCTGTTGTAAGGCAAGTCTTTTATTTTTGGCTTTCTTAAAACTTGGGCTTTATAACTTAAAATTAATTTGGAAAAGCTCCTTCCAATCACGGTTTTTAAAACATGGTTACTCGTTTGTGTCTTTCTTATGTGTGTGTTTGACAGATGTAGGGTCTTAGTTGGGCGGGGTGGGTAAGTTAACTAGATAATGTTCCACCCCTGATTTGGGGGTAAAAATTTAATCTCTGGAATTAGCATTGTAGCGATAGTTGGAGGCCTTGAGGTACGTGTCAGAGAAATGTGAATCAAATTATCTGTGTAGGCCTTGGCACGCCAGCCTCCCGTGGTTATGAAGGTGAGTGTGGCTGTTCTGAGGAAAGCCTGCATTCTCTGTCACACCCAGGAGGGCCTGGTCACCTGGTGGGTACCAGGCCCCTGAATATAACTGCCTAGAAACGATGGGGTGAATTCAGGGCATGGGGTGCAATTTAACTTCAAATACTCTATTGTTTGTTTCAGGGATTTTTGTTTTTGCCCTCTCCTGGCTTTTTCTTTGTTAAAACCTCAAGGTTATTGAAGCAGTAATTTTAAAATCAGTGTGTCTCTATATTTTAATAAAAATACAGGGATCTGGAAAAATACACAAATCTCCCCTAAATCCAGTGTGCTGTGAAAATAGAGGCTAGGTTTAGCTGGAAGTCAGAATGCTGACATTCACTGTGTCTTCGCTCAGAGATCATATTTACTTTCGCTGAAGTGTATGTGGAGACAGGGAGAGAGGGAGAGAGAGAGAGAAAGAGACAAGCCAGTTTGGCTCAGTTGGGATCACTGTAATTTACCAGCCAGCTAAGTGTTAGGGGGCTGGCCTCTGGCTTGGAGAGTGGGTAAGGGGGAGGAGTGGGGAAGAGGTTAGCATTCCCTGATTTATTTTTAAATATTTATCCTTTTGGCTGTTGCCAATTACGGTTTGCAGATGAGATGAGACTAGTTACAGAGAACTGCCTTTTCTAAGAGCGGGTTTATTTGTCAGCAGTGTCCAAGAGCCCTGAGAGTGCCAGATTGTCTCTGCTGGGTAGGTTAACTACAGATACCTGCCCTCAGAAGAGCCAGGGCCTTTCGGAGCCAGAGGACTGAGTTTGCAACCTGTCTTTCAGGGAAACAGTTGATTCCATAGACAAGTGCAAAAGTTTCAGACTCCCTCTGAAGAGGTATTGTTTTGTTAATGATGAAAATCAGTTCTGGTGGAGGTAATGCCCCCAGCTTTTTTGGTAACCCTTTATCTTGATGCTCCAGAGGCCCTAGATTCCCTGCCTGTGGACTAACCTGTTACAATTTTGCGTGTAACAAAGGCAAGCTTGACCAGCTCTTACCATGTTAGTAGCTGGTGCTGGATTAAGATAAAGGAAAGGGACCCAGGGTTACTCCCAGTTCCACTTGTCAGGCCTCTGAGGTGCAGGAGGGCACATTGCCCCGTGTGCCCCTTGGGATGCTGGTAGTGTCCTGCAGATCCCCCCAGGGCCTTCTGCCCAGCACCTCCACATCCTTCCAGATTACTTTATAGCTGGTTCTTCGGCATTCTCGCTTTTCTTTTATTGAAGATATTTATCTGTCGGCCCACCAGGTTCATGATGTCACCAGATTATGAGGTCGTCCCCTGTTAATAAAAGTTAAGATAAAGGAGCAAAATTAGATTTTCGGGGAGTGTAAACATTTTCTTACTGTCTTTAGCTCACGGGCTCCGGGTTGCTCCCAGGTAGGACATAGGGGCCTGGAGTCCTTGTGTTCCTGGAGACATTTCCAGAGACATCTCTGTGTTGTGAGTGCCACATTACTTGCGTTATTGCTAGCATCATCATCTTCATGTATTATTCATAGTCACTTTTTCAATTAAATTATTAATTGGTTTTCTTTAAGGTGTTCTCAACTCATGTGGCTAATATAAATAATAGTGTGTTTTGAAAACACCACCTGTTCTTGGGGCTTAAGTCAGGTGGTCTGGCAACAGCTCGGCCATGATCATATCCCGGTTTGCAAAATCATCCTCCACTTTCCTTTTTTGCTCTCCAGCACCCTCCCCCCCCCCACCCCCATACTCTCTCATGTGTGACAGAATTTGGCCTGTGCTCTCCTTTGTCCCTAATCGGACATGATTCCCTAGAGGCAGTCTTTTCTCCCAGGGCCCTGGCAGACAAAAAAAAAATTTTTTTTGGAGTCTTTTTTTCTGGACTAAAATGTAAAATGTAGAGGGGGGGTTGTCTGTCCCCAACAGGTTGGCTATTTACGTTAATTTGAACTCAAATTACATTGTGTAAAATGCCTTGTGCGTGGAGACCTGATAGTTTCAATCAGCCGAGCATCCTCTTCCTCCTGCATCAGTGTGCTTAATGCTAATACAATTCCATACATACAGCTCTTTGCCTCCTGAGCTTATTATATTTCTCACACTTGCATGGTTCATTATTGTGCAGTCGGGGAAAGGACTCTTAAGGTTGTGGGGCCAGCCTGGGTGGGTGGCTTTCAGAAAGGGAAAAATAGGTGCCCTTCTGTGCTGGGGGAATCAGGAATTAAATCAGACTGAGCGTGGGATTCTGACAGGGAGGACGGTGACTTCCGGTGAGATTTCTCTGGTGCTGCCTTTGCATATGAGAATGGCGAAGGCGAACCTGGGGAGAAAAGTGTCCAGCGGTTGCTCTGACCAACTGGGGTGTCCCCATTAAATTTGACCTGGCAGTTGAATCTCCCTGTGAAGGGCATGATGTATGCCTTATCTGAAATTATGTGTGTGTGTGTGTGTGTGTGTGTGTGTGTGTGTGTTTTAAGGCAAGTCTTGTAAAAAGACTGTAAGCTTAATTGCAAGCTGTGACTTCTTTTTTTGTGGCCCCCCCCCCCCTTCTTTCTTTCTCTCCCATGAAAAACTCTATCCTTCAACTCTCAATGGAGATCAGGGGATGTTTTTCTAAGTTTCTGCAGCTGAAAAACAGAAGTGCCCTGTAAAGCAGTTAATAGGATGGGTGTGTGTTTCAAATAAATTCCTGTCCACATTGGCTAATGTCCCCATGCTAGAGTGGCCTGGCTGTGACGTGGATGGGGCCCAGAGACCCATGGCTCCGGTTCTGAGCCTCAGGCTCTCTTTTGTGGCCGAGGGCGCGCCCCTTTCTTCTCGCCCGATTCTAGGCCGGCCCCTGACTTTTGATGAGAGAGAGGGGTCAGCGCCTGGGAAGGACCGGGCTTTGTTCCCGCCGGGCCCGTTCCCGAGGCGGCGCAGGCCCAGCCGCCCAGGGCTCCCGTCCCAGGCGCGCGGCCCGGCCTGCCCAGAAGCCAGTACCCGGAGCGCGACCGAGCGCTCGGGCCTCGCGCGCCCGGGCGTCCCCGTGTCCCCGCGGGCGCGGCCGCCGCCGAGTACCCGGCCTGCGCCCGGCACGACTGTAGATGTCAGGCTTTGCCCGGGGAGCCGAGCGGCGGCGGGGCTGTGAGTTTCAAATTAACCTTCCGCTTTGTTGCTGTGTAATGTGGATCCCCGAAGGCCCCCCGCCCCGCCCGCCCCCCTTCCCCGGGCGGTGAGCCTGCAAACTGCGAGTTGAGCTTCATTTACATAAAGCGATTCCGGGCGGGCGGTGAGCCGGCGGCGGGCAGGCCGGGGACCCGGACGCGAGCGCCGCGCCCCGTGGGTGAATCCCCGCCGCGCGCCCGGGGGACCCTCCCTCCCGGGGAGGGGCGACCGCCAGCCCCTGCCGCCACCATGCGCCCCCCTGCCCTGCCTGCGGCCCCCCTGCACCTAGACAGAGCCACCTCGGAGTCCCGGGGGCGGCGGGAGGTGGGGAGAATGCCGCCTGGGGTGGGTAAGTTCGGGGCTCCGGTGCCGCTGGAATTTCCCATTGTCGAGCGCGCCGCGGCCCCCGGACCTGCGAGTGCCTCCTCCCTCCGGAGGTGTGCGGAGCCTTTGTGTGCCAGGTGAGTGGAGCCTCCCTCCCCAGCCCGCCAGCCGCCCGGTTCGCACCGCCGGCCTAGAGCGGCAGGCAGGTGCTGCAAGTCTTGGCTGAACTTCCCATTCTCTTGGGGCATGTGGGGGAAGGGCAGGCTGGATGCACTTGAACTCGTAGATTCCAACTGGAACCTACCTGGCGTGCGAGTGTCTAAATTCTGCTGGGTACAGAGTGAAGCCCTTCCTCCTTCCATCTTTCCTCCTCTCTCTCCCTCCCTTCTTCCCTCCTTATTTTGCTTTTGGATTAGTTCCTGCCTTCTGAATACTTGCGGTACTAGTGTCATTTAAAAGTTTGGGTTCCTCCGCCTTAAAATGCGCCCTTTTCAGGCACAAGAGAAGTCACTGGTCAGTTTGAAACAACGTGAAGAATGTGCTTATTGTGGAGTAATTAAAGGAAGAATCAGAGGTTTGGAGCTGGAAGGCACCTTTGGGGATCCTCTTGCCCACCCTCTAATTTTAGTTTGTTCGCACTCTGGAAAAACATTTCCGTGGGGGAGAGGGGTGGAGGAGAGGGAGAGCTGTGATGTTTGTCCTGTTAAAGGAGAAAGATTGCCCAAGTTAGGTCAATAGCAGGAAAAAAAAAAGTAATCATTGTAGACTAATAGAGGGAAAAGAACTTTCTGGAAAATAGTCTTTTCAGCTTTGGACATACCTGTGTTATAAGAATGGTAAAACACCTGGAGGGCAAAGACCATCACTCGTGCCTGGTGTATTATAGGAGTGCATTGCCTGGCTTAGTAGTGCACAGTATATAAACTGGTTTAAATGAAACACATGAGCAGGTGAATCCAGGAGGGTCCTCACTGCTCCCACCCCCTGTTTGTGTCATTTAACAGGCCTGGAAGACTCTGAAAGCCACTGACAGATAAGCTCAGAGAGATTAGACAGCCCCACTTGGGCACTAGGAGAAGGCCTCCCCACCCCCCCGTGGGGGGGGGGGGTGCTGGGGCCTGCTTCGTGGAATCTGTCAAGGCAAAGCAAGAAAAACAAACTTAAGCCTTGAAGGTAGATAGTGGGAAAGTTACACGTCATCTTATTTCATCCCATGCTTTGAGATCCTTGGAGACAAGTCACTAAATAAATAGAGTATAATTTAAAGCTTGCTCCTGCTAGCTGGGGAACTTTGTTTCTTTGCCATCAAGCAGCAGGTGCGAGTTTGCAGAGTTAGCCCCTCGAGTCCCCTCATTCCTAAATTCAGGAGGTGTCAAACCTTCATGTTCTTTTAATGGCTGTGGTTTCTGGATAGGTTTCAAGGGGAAACCCTAAAAATCATGAGTTCCAGGAGGCTGGGCTGGAGAAGGAAGCCCAAGTGCTGGGGCAGAGACTGCATTTGAGAGGAAAACAGACACCTTCCAAGGTAACCTGATTGAGAGAGGCCAAGGCTAGACCGTGGCCTGTTGCTAGTTTTCAGAACAGCTGCTGGCGGCCTGATATTCTGAATCCTTCTTTTTACCCAACCCAAACACGAAAAGCAGTTAGGGGACAGAGGTAGGATATGTGGGAAGTCAGGAGCCCACTGTTCTAAATAATTGAAGGGTTTCAGGAAATGAGTCATTGGAGAGAGAGAGGTACATACCTGGATGTTTGTGCACCTGTATTTTTGTGCATTCTATTTTGCAGAGACCCCAAAAGCCCCATTTCAGAGGGTATATGGCTATGAAGGCCAAGAGAAACTTTTCCTGTCTCCCGTCCTTAAATTACAGGACTAAGGAGATTGTCTGCACTTCGTTTCTAGCATGTGTTCAGAGAGCGTGTGAGTGCCTCTCAGAATGGGCTGGGGTCACACTTTGCTCTTTTATTTAATTGCCCGAGTGTTATTTAACAACACGGGGCAGAGGCAGAAGCAAGCACTTTTACACTTTAAAATCAGCCCTTTTGGAATCACAAGGAATTAAATGACTTGGAGACCTTCTGTCTTTATGACATGGGTCACCTCCCTCTCCCAGCTCTCTTTTGAAATGGCTGCACTTTCTGTGGGATAGAGCTGCTGTTTTCCAGTTCTCCTGAAAACAGTTTTGATGGACAGGGAACTATTGAGAAACGCATGGTAACTCTTCCAAAATAAAAAAAAAAAAAAAATCTGAGCTGCTTCCCCAACCACCTGAAACTTTAATTTTGGTTTCTTCCCTTCCGTCTTTTATTTGCACAAATGAATACTCAGGGAGGGTGGAAAGGACCCAAATAAAACAGCACTCTCAGCAGGCCTCTGTTTGGCTCGTCCCAACAGGACAGTGAAGTGCCTTCCTTCTTGCTGCTTTGGGATTGGATTTAACTGCCGTGTAACCTCCGTGCCAACGGACTGCCCAGTGGCAAGGAGCTAAAATAAGCGAGATTTCAGTTTTCATCATTATGACTTTAAATGATGATTACTAGACACTCCCAGGACAGGCCTGGCTCACCTTGGATGACCCACAGGTTGTTAGTTCATTAGAATAAATCTGTGATTGCAGAATACTAGCAAAGCATTACCTGGGGCTGGTGATGATTTAGCTTGGTTCTTTCAGTTCTGGTCACGAGCGGTATCCATGGAGCGTGTCCTTATTGTTGCTGTTGGACAGCAGTGGAGCCTTTTTTTTTTTTTTTTTTTTGGTGCGCTTCTCAAATGTTAATGTGAGATATCTTGGAAATACTAGAAGGACCAAAACAGACCCTTACCTAAGAAATTCCTTGTATTGTAGATTTGCAACAGCCTCATTAACACGAACACATGAATATTTAGGTGACGAAGCAGCATTTTGTAAAAGTGTAGGTAGCTGCTCTATCCCTAGAAGGGAAAGTGACTTGTTACACCCACTTTTTAGAGTATCCAGTTTGCTTCTTAACCTGAAAGGTTTAGCTTTATCTTACAGGGGAGACAACAGTGACAGTGATTCTGGCCTAAAGACACTTGGAAGCTTCGTCTCACACTTGCCAGTATTACAGGGATAATGCACCTGACTCTGTACCCTCCACAAGAACAGTATGTGCTGTGGTTCATACTCTCATTTGTTACTAGAGTGGTTGCTCGCTCTTAGCCCCTGTTTCTGTAATGCTTGGGCCTGTTGGCCTACTCTGGTTCCCAAGGCTGGTCTAATTAACCAGGATGGGGGCGGTACCATTGAAAACACAACAGGAAGGCAGATTCCATTACAGTGAACTTCATAGGGGTATCCACATGCTCTGGTATGAGAATTTGGTTGTGATAGTGATTGCTAGAAATCACAGCCCAGCTCAGAACCAACATCCTGGGCCTGGGGATGCAGCTTCTAAAAGCTACAGTCAAGGAAATCGGGACCCAGTTTTAATCGAATCCAGACAAGGGAATGCCTTTGCAGGAGCTAGTCTCAATCAGATTTTAAAGGGTGCCTTTTCTGTCCAAAGCACAGCGTCCTGAGTCCATAGGCCGCTCAAATTGAGAAATATACAGAAGCTAAGATTGAGTCAGATTGCCCTGAGAGAGGAAGTGTGGCAAAAATCTTGGCTCATTGGCAAGCCTCTGACAAAGTTCAGATTAAGGAGAAAAACTACAAAATCAACAACTGTCAGCTTTCTTTTCTATGTGATTTAAAGTTGGCTCCCGGATTGTCAGATTGTCGCTTTGCACATGTTCGAAGAGAGCCATCGGATGTTAGAGGGTCCCCTCCCCCAACGTGGTAAATGACTCCTGTATGGACAGGAGCTGGGGAATTGACAGCAGCTTTGCGTTTCACAAGCAGTGAGACAACACCAATGTTTTGTGTGTGTGTGTGTGTGTGTGTGTGTGTGTGTGTGTGTGTGTGTGTGT